GCTGAAGGGCTCCAGCTCCCTGTCACCGAGCTCGAGCACAAGAAGCCTCACTGCCAGTACCTTTCTGCTTGTTAGCACTGACATCTCTCTCCTTAGCACCAAAACCTGTCATTACATGGGCAAAAATGTCGTTCAAAACTACAAAATTTTAAATATACTGACCCTGCCACTGACCCTGCTTGATTGCTTTACCCAGTGTTGCAGCCATGTACCTGATTGTGGCTGATTTCAGAAGAAATGAGAGCTCAAATCTTGGAAGAAGATGCAAGACTTGGGCTCTTAAATTAGTCAGGCACTTTGAAAATAGTAGCCCTTAGCCTTTAGACTGCTTAATATAATTTTCACAAAGCTGCTCATAGCACACAATGGGATTAAAGTAATTAAAATATCATGGTACACCACATTGGCAGTAAGATGTAGTCTCCCAGATCATGTTAATCATAAATATCTTAAGACAACTGTAGAGGGAGCAATTATTAAATATCACTGAGACTTATAGGAAAGGTGTCCCTGACCATGGGAGAGGGGTAGAACTGGATGGTCTTTAAGGGCTTTTCCAACCCAAACTATTCTGTGATTCCATTTAGCCCAGATGATGGGCACAGTGGCATTCCTTCACTAAACAAACCATGCCTGCCCTTTGAAGTGGAAAAGACAAAGATGTTACACAACCATACAGTTCCTCTCAAGGCTCTGAATCAGTGGTGATGCTTTGTTATCTAACAGGCTGCTTTGCAGTTAAAGGTGTTTGCTGAGTCATTTCTCTTCCACAGGTTTCTGGGGCCTTGTCAACAATGCAGGAATATCAACATTTGGTGAGACAGGCTGGCTGCCTATGGAGACATATGAAAAATTTGCAGATGTGAATCTCCTTGGGAGCATCAGGACAACCCTGGCATTTCTTCCCCTTCTAAGGAAATACAAGGGTAATGCTAATCCACTGTAGAGTTGTAGAATAATTAGCTTACTATAATCAGGGTAATGTAACATCTATAAAAGAGACTTTAATTGTCTTTCATTGAACTGAAATGACAGCCTCCTTCTGTGTGGCCTGAAAGAGCAACTTGATCCTGAAAAGAGGGTAAAGCCATAAAGGGAAAAAAGATCTTTAAAGATTTTGTCTTTGCAGTACATAGGAAAAAAAGTATTTATAAATGAGGATTTCTCTCAGTGTTTGACTCAAAAAAGAGGAAGAATGTTTACCATAGATCATTAAGCCCAGGCAAGGCTTTTTAAACACTGGCCATCAGAAAACACAAAGTTACATAAGCTGCCTAATTTTATTATTTAGGCTTTACAATTTTATTGTTTGGCAATTAGGAGAGGAGGAATGACCCTACAGAGGTGAACTAGAGACACCCAGCTTCCAGTTCCAGCTCTGCGGAGCCTCTGTGACCTTGGGCAGGAAACTTCAAGTATGTAGAGGTGCATGTGGGATAAATGTATTTGCATGAACCTCCCTACATGTGGGCTTTATCCTTCTTTCGGAGAAGGAAATGTTTAATAGCCCTCTGCAGCATGGCAGCATGCCTTGGGTGCTTTGCATTTGTCCCCTCCCTGTCTCCATCTGTGTTTGGGGAGGAAGATCCCCTCTTCCTTGTCTGTTCTGGCTCTTTAGGGTGAGGATTTGTGCTCTGAGTGCAGCACCAAGCACAGGAAGGGGCAGGTTTCACCTGGAAACCCCAGGTGTCACTGCTACACAAACTGCTGGTGAGATAAAAACATCCCTTTTTTGGGCTATTCTGCTTCTTTCTGCTTGGCTGCCTTTGGTAGATGATGTTCTGACAGAAGAAGAAAGAAACCTTTAAATACTGCAGGCTGGATGTGTTTTTGTAGGAGAATGTGCTATTGTGTGTACCCAGTGAGTGTGTTATGTGGCCCATTACACAGGGAGACATCTCTTTTCCCTGTCATGTCCTACTTACTGCTGGAACTCTGTGATGCTGATCCACCAGAGGCACTCTCTGAGTCCGTGAACTGCACAGGTTACTTTGAAGCAAAGGGGACCAACAGTGCATGCAATATTAAGCACATGCATAAGCCTTCAGAAGGTTTGGGTCTGGAGGGCTGCACACACACCTTGGCTCAAAGGAGCATTCTGTATCTGCCAGGGCTGCCAGTGTTTCCATGGTTAACTCCTGCACTCCATTCTCAAGTACCATCTATGTAGGAGAGGAGGCCAAGGCACTCTAGGAAGAATCCTGGATTTGCTGTTGCCTTCCTTGCAGGAACAGCCAGGACAGCTAAAGCTTATGTGTTTGGGGGCAGCAAGTGACCTCTCCACATGAAAAGCTTGACCTACAGACATTGGAGCATAATCCTGGGGAACCTGAGTTTCAGTTCCCTTAGGCACTTCAAAGAGAAGTTAAACAAAGTGTCCCACATCCTGGGTGTGAGCCCCATCCACTCAGCTACTGGACAAAGGAGGCAGAGGTCATCCCACCCATTGCTTACTGCCATGGATGTGCACCTATTCCAAGAAACAACTCAAAATTACTCATACAAGTACTCATACCTGTAAAGGGAGGTCGTGCCCTCCAGCCTAGGACTTAAACATTCTACCCTGAGAGGGGCAACATTTCCCCATATCTTTTCCAGCTGGCCAGGCCAGCTGATAGAGCATCTTGATCAGCAAGCTGGTGGTTAGATTCCTCTTACTGTAGATAAGCTTTATTTGGGATGCTGTATAGGAAGGCAGGGAACCTAATTCAGAATGACAGGTTTCACTGCATTGCCGTGACACCCTTTGATATCCCCCAGGCCTGTTCCATTTGGTGAGATCTGGGGCCCAGCTGTGATCTGCATCTGTGGCAGCAGCAGGGGTGCAGCTGTGTTCTCTGCACTGTCAGTGACAACAGCACCTTTCTCACCCCTGGTGTTTGTGTATCCACACCCAGCCATTCCTTACCCCACGTAGGACTGTGTGACAGAAGTTCACAAGGAAACAATGGAAATGAACCACAGTCCAGTGCCCCACATGAGGAATCTCTGCTATTTATGGCATGCCTGCACTCAGCAGGAGTTAGAAAGGAGGGAAAGCAGCACAGATCAGGGAAATCATTGTGAGGTATTGTAAACCTGCACATATTTGGCAAATCACATTTCCTTGGTAAAGCTTATCACTGTACAGCTTATCACTGTACACTGGAATTTATATGCACAGTAACAGAACCTGGCCTCAGTGCAGACACATTATTAGCACAGAAAAAAATGATATTAGTAACCATATAATGCACCTCAGGGAAAATCACCTCCCCTCTCCTCTGCAGTCCTTTTCTTTCTAGCACAGTCTCATTACTATTTTTCAGCCTTTAGAGCACTGCTTTGTTTCCATCTTTTCCATCCCCTCTCAGGCTCAGAAGGAATAAGCAGCACACTGGGAATGTGTTACACTTGTCTAGTCCAACATCTGTCACTAGGTGGAAGATTTTTGTGAGAAGTTTCCTGCTCAGCAGAGCTGAATGCCCGTCTGTGCTGGGACTGCACACTGACACTGCCCAGTTGTGGCACAGTGTGCAGGAAAACAGTCTCCTGCTAAACACCACATTCTCAGCATGAGAGACTGAGGCAAATCAATTCCATGCTGAAGACTGAGAGTGAAGTTTTGTTATTTGCACTGTTTTCTCTCCAGGACGTATTGTTTTCATGTCCAGCATCATTGCCTATTTTACTCTGGGAAATGGCATTTATTCTATGACCAAAGCAGCTATTGAAAAATTTTGTGATGCTTTAAGACTGGAAATGAAGAAGTTTGGTGTCCAGGTAAGTGATGTAACAAGAACCTGGAAACCAGGTAAGTGATGTAATGAGTTATGTGAAACAAAGTAAAAAAGATAAAAGCTCAGAACTGCATTCATGAGTGCAGCTTCCTTTTGGAAAGAGGTGGTTTCTCTGTGGCTAATCAGTCAGCTGGAAATCACTGGGAACAGCAGTCCTGGGGGATGTTTTTGGTTCTGAGAAGCTGCTGGGTAACAGTCTGTGTGTCAGCACTGAAACTTCCACATCTCTGCAGTGGAGAAGGTTCCTGACACAGGCCTGCCCAGCTCCCACAGCAGTGAGGAACTCAGATGTTCCCTGGGTGGCTGCAAAGAGCCAGACACCGAGTGCTGTGCAGCCAGAACTTGTCACTTGCCTGGGGGGTTCCTTCTCTCCCCTTACAACACCAACTCCTTGCTTCTTGAGAGAACAGCTATGCTGCAAGAGGCAGCATTGTACAGAGCAGTTATGTTTTATTCTCTTAACCTAAGAGGCTCTAAGAGTGCTCTTAGTGCCCTAAGCAACTCTAATAGTCAAACCTGAAGCTTAGATCCCTAAGTAGCTTCACTGGGCTTTTTGCTTGGAGTCACTCTACCGCTGAAACACTTTTCTCAAACACTCAAAGTCTTCCCTGCCAGGTCTGCATTGGGGTACTGTTTATGTACACAGACTTACAGCATTGTTCATAAGCTTTGTGTTGGAAAATATTACAGCTATGCATCTATTAGCTACCCCTGTCAGATAAATATGAGGGCTGTAAAATACAAATGACTTTACACATCCTAATACCACACAGCATGATAAGGATTTCTGCTGATTAGCCGAGGATAATCTCAAATGCATGGAAGGGCTTAGTTTAACAGGTTAGCTACTCTGGTTGTTTTGGGACTTTTCCTGTTCCACCTCTGCAGTAGTCCCAGCACATAAGTGAGTGAGCCAGGCTGACAAGCATTTCTGGAGTATCTTTGAGAGGTGTTTTTCTGTTTCTAACTGAATGGAAGATGCTGGCTGGCACTTGCCTGAGAACCTGCCCTGTGCAGAGCCTACAAAACACACAGTCCCTTTTTGCTGTGCTCTGTTGTCCTGTCTGTCCTTTCAGGAGAAAGCTGCACAGAGGTGCAAGGAGCAGATGGAGCTGTGGCTCTGTCCCACTGAACTCTGCCCAGGCAAGCTGACAGCCTACAGGAAACAAAGTGGATGCCTGCCAGTAGAAAGGCCACAGAAAGTGTGGAAAGGGCAAAAACCAAGCTATCTCTCCTTCCCTCCAAGCCAACTCCAAAAAAGGAAGCTTCCAAACCCCCTTTGTTAACAATAAATGTGGGAAGTTGACTATTTAGCTGATACCAAGCACACTTCTAAACAGCACCAGAAGGGAGGGCTCCTGAGGATGCTGTGTTACAAACGTGCTTGAGGCAGCACCAAGCTGTTCCAGCTGTGCACACCGTGCCTCTGCTGGGTTTGTCTGCATCCCTTCCTCCTCCCTGTGCACAGGACCTGCAGCCCAGTCCTCCTGAGAGCAGGGAATCAATCACCTGCAGGCCAGTGGGCAGGGGCTGATACAGCTGGGCTGGTGGCTGAGTGGAGACATCAGGGTTTTACATCACCACAGACTTCCCAGAGAATGCCTGTCAGATCTCCAAGTCTCTGACACAGCTCAGCATGGGTTTTCCCCACCTTGTGTTGCAGCCTTTAGAAATCAGGTCAGTCAAATGCCACGGAGCTTTTAATGTTGCATATCTACAAATAGTTTGAACAAGGCTGCTGCTAACTGAGAACGGCATGTGTGCTGTGAGTGCTCAGCCCGCTCCAAAACTCCCTGGAATACTCAGAAGGAGCAGAACAGCAGCAATACACAAAGAAAATTTGGAGGAGCAAAGGACTTGTGTGCTTTTCATTTAAATCTATGTGCACAAATCTACAGAAATCTCATGGCTTCAGCGAGAGGCAGAGCAGGACCTTTTGTTCCCTTGCTCTTTGCTGACATTACCTAGTTTACTTTTAATTACACCTTCTTGGGGAAAACAGCACTTCTTTCCCCAGCACCTGATAATTTTCTTTGATACCTCCTTTTGTCCCAAATTGGGTCAAAAATCATCAATGGCAAGGTTCTCCACTGAGTGAAAAATCCAAAGTATTCCACTTTGGAGACATCAAAGTCACACTGAAATGCTTTGTCTCAGTATTGTCAAAACATTTATACAGTTAAGCATTGTACAGCAATCAAAGATGCTCTATTGCATTCTGTGAGAGTGTGCTGAGTAGTCAAAACAAAAAATTAACATCAGAGCAAAATGAGGAAGTCAGAATAAAGCACCTCTGCAATCTTAAATATTTTACAGGAATACATTTGATTTCAGTCAAGTTTCCAGGGTTAAAATTTCAACAAAGCAGCATTTTCTGGCTGTCTATGGAGAGCTTTTGGTCTGTGTTACTGACTATAGTATTTAATTGAATTCACAGTGACTGATTGCACCTTGGTAAGTTTTACATCTCGCTCTCAGGTCTCTATTATCCAGCCAGGAAATTATGCACGCTCTACAAAAATTCAGCCACCGCTCAGTGCCGAAGAGATCTGGAGTGAGCTGAGCGAAGAGGAAAAGGCTGTTTACAACAAGGAGTACGTTCAAGAGCGGGCTAACTTTTTCAACAGCATCCTTAGTGAGGGAAGCACTAATGGCAATGAGGTGGTCGACGCCATGGTGGATGCTCTAACATCTCCTGCGCCCAAGGCACGGTACATGGTGGCGAAGCTGAAGGAGAAGGCCCTGGTGTTGGTGTGTGCTTTGTTCCCGACTGCTGTGATGGATTCTGTTCTGTCTTATGCTCTGAGCAAGGTAAAGCTTGCATAGCCTGCAGTGGTGCTGCTCCCTGACTCAGGTGAGGCAGTTTATCAAATGTGAAAGGCAGAGCTGGACTGAATGCTCCCGTGTGTCAGTACAGTGACTCCGATTAACCAGTACAAACTCTGGGGAGTCTCCCTAGTCAGAACTGTCACTGACTGCTACAGAAAAACATACAGGACCTGTGTAAAATTAAAGCATTTGTTTAAGTAACTTTATCTCTTCCCTGTGGAAAAATCCCATCCACATAAGCCACTTTAGTTATTGCCTGGAAAATTTAATGCATCATTTTCTAAAGCAATAGCAGGTTATTGTGTTACAGCCATGATGCAGACAAAATGGAGTGCATCCACAGCGCAGCTGTACACCTGAAGTCATTACAGCAGAGAGCAAAAGCCCTTGCTGGTAGTAACCTGAGTAGCCATATATTCAGGGTGATAGGAAGAGGTTAATGGAAAAGTCATAGAAATGAGCACTGGACCTCAAATACTTTGAATGGAGTTAAATGGCTGTAGCAAGTTAGGAAGTCTTGAAGCTCTGAGCAGTCTGGTTTAGTGAAAGGTGTTCCTGCCCACAATAGGGGGGCTGGAATTTTATGACCTCTAAGATCCCTTCCAACCCAAACCATTCTGTGATTCTATGAACAATAAAGTTGTAATATGAAAACACTGTCCTGGCTAACTACAGTTCAATCCTTTTTCAGGTGTTCTGGATAAATCTTACAAAGCAGACACATCACAGACTTCAGAAAACAAGTTACATATTCCATTTATAAATGAGTATTTAATCCTAAATAATCTCTATCCTTTAATGTCTGGGTTAATCAATGTGTTGACCTGAAGTGTAGTGAGAGAGCTGAACACCAAGGAGCCATATCAGTGTGCTTGGAGCTCAGAAAGAACAGACTCGGGTTTGGCTGCTAGTGCAAGGAATAAGGTCTGAAGACAAGAATGCCTGCTAACAGGAGAGGGAAGCATTAGTAACATTGTCTGTGAGAGTAATTGATCACAGTGGCTCCATTTACACTCTTGTACTGATTGTCATGACAAAGATTGCTGGTTTACACATACAGCTCTAAATTTGACTTGGTTATGGTATGGCACAAAATGCAAGAACTCTGGGACCAAAAGAACCCAGAAGAGCTGGGATAAACTGTGGTGGCAGTGATCTATCCAGGGCAGCAGCATTAACTGAGCATTAGCTTTCCCCATGCCAGGTCTCTCTTATCAAATCTAAGCTCTAAGTTGACACAGTTAACTTTCTCATCTGAGGCACAAATTTCACCCTGTACCTGGGAAATCTTTCCTAACATATTTAATTAATTGCTGAGAAAGTTTATGCTCTCTCCTGGTTGGTAATTTGGGCAGTGTGAATCAGAAAACTGAGTGACAATTCCAGGCTCTCTCCTGGTACACTCAGCAGTGGAACAGCCACTGCACCTGTCAGAGATTGTGGAACAATCTATTCTATTTCTCTTTCCAAATGCTGAACCCATCCCTGGAGCTGGCATTGGCAAGAGGACAAGCCTGGGCTCCCAACTGTTCCCCAGACTGTCAATAGCAGGATAATCAGATGATTATCATCCCTCTCCTCATTTAACCACAACTGAGCAAGGCCAAGCAAGGGAACAGGAATGAGGCTTATTCCAACTGAACCAATCAATTTCTTGTCTAGGAGTTCCCCCTGCGTGACCTCAGGGATTTCAGCAGCCCTGCACTGCTTTGGAGCACTGCTTTCGTGCCCTCAGCTGTTCTTTGTGCAGACTGCCCTCCCTCCCTCGCAGTAAGCAGCACTGGCCTCCGTGAGCAGCTCTGAAGCCCGGAGGTTTCTCCATCAGGCCCAGGGTACAAGTGCTGATCTCTGCCCCGTTACACTGTCTCCCTTCTCTTGGCATTTCTAAAAGCTACTGCACTAAGTTGCTGAGAGCCAGCACCATCAGATCTGCCTCACAGACACTAAATAGCTTCCAACTGGAAGTTCTTTATTTGCTGCGTATGGGGTGAAGCATGTGATCAATATTTCAATAGCCTCATGTAACATAAGACGAGAAAGACTCCAGAACATTTATTCCCTCACCTTGAAAACTGAGAACTTGCAGTGCATAGGATTTTAAACAGGATACAGTGACAGGGTGAGAGCCCATGGGACAAATAAGGCAGTTTGTATTTTCATTGCCACCTAACCACCGGCTTGGAAGCTAACTGAAAACCAGCCACAAAATTATCATCTTTATTCCTTCCATAATTTAGCATTATGATCTGCAGATAAAGAACTAATAAAGAGAGTCAGAGTTTGTTATTAACACAACATCCCACTGAAGTCATCTGGAATCCTCCCACTGAGTTCTATGTGTTCCAAGCCACAGTGTTAGACAAGTAAACATGAAGATAAGTAGCAGAAATAATTTCAGAATGCCTGGGCTGAGCAGCAAAGAGACCCTCATAGGAAGTGGTGATGGAAGGGGCACGGCATTCCCTCCTCCCCAAGTGCCACAGGGTACAGAAGCTGCAGGATCAGTAACTGAAGGTTTTAGTGAACAAACCTCGCTAACCAAGCCAGTGCTGAACTCTGAGGACTCCCAGAGCTGCCAGCTCTGCAGTGAACTCCCGCCCTGCCCTGGGGCTCCCCTGCCTCTGGGGATCCCAGAGTCACCCTGGGGAGCATGTGCTGGGAGCGCAGAGCTGCTGGACTGCCCCTCCATCCCTTCTTACTGAGCCACATCCCCGGCTAAGGAGCGCCGCCCTCTTCCTCAGTAACTCTGAAATCACCTTTACCTCAAGTCAAGTTGAAGTGCAGGGGCGTACAAGAAATCTGTACTAACGACATCCAAAAATTAAACAGTTTTAGGAAAAATTTAGGACAAAGATAAAAGAAAAAACCAAACAACCCCCCCCCCCCAAACCCCACAACCAAACTTACATTGACATTACTCATACCTGAAACACCCCTCTCCAAAAACCCAGTTAACCTGCTGCAGACCCTTTCCTGAGACTGTTTCTCTATGTAGCATTGATCTGAGCTGCATTCAACAGAGAACTTCTTGGCAAAACACATCAGCTTTTGTCACTATTTGTCTTGATAAGCCTTGCTGACAATTTGGGATTTTTTTCCCTTGAAAACAACCACACCAAAAGAGACTCAGTTTTCCTCCCAAGTCTCTTCTCCAAGGACACAGTATCAAGGACCTAACAGTTATTTCATGGATTTTCTCCTTGATGAAAAGGCCTATTCCTAAGAGTGCATATTAATTGGTAGAAAGAGTCAGTGTTGGTTTTGACAAAGCACTTATAGAAAGAGTATAAAGAAGAGTGCAAAACCTAAGCCAGTTTATAAGCTGTACATTGTTGTGAGTGACACCAACAGCTTCATACAGCAGCATCAAAACCAGAAACAGAGCAGATGCCAGGAAATTCAGGAGGAGGAGCCGGGTGGTACCTGCCAGCACAGTCCTGAGGAGGCTGTGCTGCTGTGAGACACAAAGGCTGTCTCAGGGAGCAGACCACTTCCCTTCTCTGAGAAGGCACCGCTGGAGCAATGCCCCCACCACAGCTCCCAAGAGGACCTTCAGAATTAGCCAAATGTGTACATTTGTGTCATTCTCCCAAGCTGGCAGGTCTGAATGAGGAGATTTTGGGTGGAATGCACCACATAGCAGATTTTTTGCAGTAGCATCAGAATCCAGAGAGATGAATAGCAGTGATAATGACTTCCCCAGTGCAAAGGCTTAAGCACAAGCCAGGCAATCCTCAAGCACACCTTGCAGCTGAAGCCAGGCTGTCACCAGCGCAGCTCCCCCGATGCCATCAGGACTCCAGGGCCATGCAGCCCCTGTGGTGCACAGCCTCCCTCCAGAGGTCAGCTGTGGGACAGCTTTGGCACCCACAGAGGAAACCCAGCACCACGCAGAGACAGCCAGCGGAACAGAGGAGGGCAGAGGATGGTCCCACATGTTCCAGGAGGGACTGAGCAGTGCTCTCAGCCTGTCACCTTCTGCTAGCACCAAACAAAACTTCACAGCCTTTGTATTTTGAATATTTGGAAGCACTCGTTCAGCAGTGAAACATTTTCATGTGCAATTAGATGATTTTGGAGCTGCAAAGTGAGCATGTCAGTAATGGGGACTTTACCTATCACGGGGAAGAATGTATGTTGCAGGAACAATTGAGGTTAATGCTTAAGAGTACATAAAACAAGGGGGAAACAGTAATAAATGTCAGTAATGAACGTTCTTTGGAATAATCTTGATTTGGACATGATTTAGCAGCGATCTCATTGTCAGACACAGTGGGCCAAACCTCTGAGCCGTGGGCTCCACAGATTGCATTCATGCAGGGCACCACGAAGGCAGCGGAGCTCCCCGCTGGCTGTGAGGGATGTCCCGGCGGGACGGGAGCTGCTTTCAGCACCCAGGACAGAGCAGCCCCAAGGCC